TACATAACATATCATACCATAACATACATATAAACATTATTACAATAATACATTAACATATCATAGCGATATATGACATTGTACAATACAGTACATAATATTATAGTACATATATACAAATATATAATATCATAACTCACCACACACACACACACACACACACCACATCACATCACACACACATACATACATATAAATATATTATTAATACTATATAATATACATACATTATATATACATATATATATATATATCATTAAACATATACAAAAATATAGATATGATATAAATATCAATATTAAAAATTACTCAAGACTTATATATATGTATAGAGTGTTTGTTTATGAAAGTAATATATATTAATAATATAATATAATAGTGGTGTATGTATATATATTTATAGATTTATTACTATATATATATATATTATAATTAGTGTGTTAGGTATAATTATTATAGTGTTATGGTGTGTGTGTGTGAGTGTGTGAGATGTTAGTTGTTGTGTTGTAGTGTTGTGTGTGTTGAGTTATTAGTATTATAATTAATATAATAATATAATTATATAAATATATAAATATATAATATATATAATATATATAATATATAAATATAGTATATATATATATTTATAATATGATGAATTGTGTGTATATGTGTGTGTGCTTATACTAAATACTATTATATAAATAATATATATAAACTATATGTGATTATATATGCTGTGTGTGTGTATATAGTAAATAGTATCTATATATGTGTGTAGTGTGTGGATACTATAATGATAGTGTAGTATATTACTTAAGTAATAGATAGATAGATAGATAGAAGATATAGATAGATAGATTAATATATGATATATATCAATATATATAATATATATATATATATATATAATATATAATATAATATATATCTATATATATAATATTACTATTATATATAATATAATTATTATGATTGATATGTGTTTAGTGTGTTGAGTGTGTGTGTGATTGTGTGTGGTGTGTGTGTGTATATGTAGTGTGTATTTGAGTGTTTATCTGAGCTATACACTGTGTGATTATGTGTTGATAGTGTTTGTGTAGCGCCTCTAATAATACCAGCATAAGCCACACGTAATATATAAGCCAGAGTTTACTTATCAAATTATAACCTAGTGTATATATAATTACTATTAATATTCACTGAGATTATTATTAGTAAAAACTCACCCAAACATATATAATTATACCGGTGCTGAAGTCTGGATAGGATCCTGTATGCTGAGGGAAATCCTCTTAGCTATCGAGCAGAATTGCAGTGAATGCATATACGACCCTCCTAAGCATCCGCCCCGTGCCTAGGTCAGCTGTAGTATACTTATTAGAGTACAGTGATCGCATTCAGATAGGACCAGAGGACGTATCATCAAACTACCGTGAATACCAGGGATTTTATATACGTATTTATGATTCTATATGACTTATCTTTATTTATTATTTATGTTAATATCATTATATGAATTCTATGTTATTATTTATAGTATTTATAGGGTCAATAAATACTACATCATTGTATTAACATTGTTCCCCCTATACCCATCAGTAACTATTCACTGAAGTTACAAACTTAGCTAGAATTACTTAAATACCATATAGGTTAATATTAGCGAGATACGTGATGATGTACAATATGTAGAAGTGTGTGTGTGTGTGTAGAGTGATCGGTAGTGATGTGTAGATTAGTGATGTTCGATTTTGTGTGTATATGATTTAATATATCGAAGGAGACATCAATAACTTACTAAAGCTATAAAGCATTTAATTAATTAATCAGAAAGTATGATGTGTGAAATCGATGAAATCTAGAGAATGATATTTCGTGTAGAATAGTGAGTCTTCAAACTACAAACCGTAACCAAGTGAGTTAGATATAGGTATTTATAGGTGAAATCTGTGAACTCCCCATTAACGTGCTGATATATGTGGAATAAGTTATTTATTTTAAAAAGGCGAAAGGGGTGAGTGGGCAAAGGAACCGGCATTAATGAGTATATACTACTACTAAACAATAATACAAGGTTAGAGATGTTCCAGTTGGAACTGAACTTCGTCGCGGGATCGGAGCTTTTATTGAGTGTACTTTAATGAGGATATGAATAATGTATAATATAAAGAAATAACTTGAGACTGTAAACATTACACGAGCTATAAACTGTTAATTGTATAGCCTTAAGCCTTAACAAAATATATGTAAACAATTGTACTTAGAATTAGCTAGCCGGTCATATAAAGTATCATTACTTTATTCACTTATTATGCAGAACAAAACTCGTTATTTACTACCACTAGAGGACTACACATGCCTACATGATCAACAGAGCAATATATGAGACGGCATGTATTACTATTGATAGACTATATTTATGTATCTAAAAGTTGCTACAGTGATTAGAAACTTAAGTTCCCGTCATTAGTAATCTGTGTGATAAACGCACTAGTAAACAGATAATAAATTGCGAAATATATATATATATGATATTATATATATATAATATATGGACAGAAAATTTAAATAAGGTCGTAAGAATGTCTTGTATGACTAATACTAATACTAAGACCATATATTCATATTATGTGACTTGTAATCATGTAATCATGAAAACAGCTGTAAGCAAAGTTGTGTGTGTGATTAAACCTTGTGGTGTGATGTGAAAGCCAATGGTGGTCACTGTCTATGTAAGTCCGATGGAAACTGTTAAGACAAAGAGCAAAAAGGTGCGAGAAATAGCAGGACAAGGCGGAAACAGAAAGCAGTCTCTGAGGAGTGGATAATGGTCATTCCATTCGGTCATGTGTTGTTGTGCGTGTTGTTGTGTCTGCTGTTCGAGTGGATGAATCGCGTTAAGCGTTTAGGTGCTTGTGAAGGAAATTGAGTGATTAGTACCAATATGTAGCACCAGACCTGCCTGCAAAACAGCTTCATATAACTTAATTATTTGTGTTTATTTTTTTATTATTATTTTTTATTATTTTTTTATCAGAGTGAAAAACACAGATATACATATCTATAACAGCTCCAATGAGGTAGGATAGACAAATAATAAATCTATATTCAATCTTGGAATAAATTACTAAAGATTAATAATACATAATAAAATAACAACCTATAAGCCATAAATGAATGTAATCATTATATTCGAATTACTATTATGATATATTCTAGTATGTTTATATATGTCTTATCTATGTATATATATATGGTATATTAATAATATTTGTAACTATACAGGGTGATTGATATATGATGTGATTAAACTTAACTACCTGAGTACACGTGGAATACTTTGTATATATAAAGGTCTCAAAATTTTGTATTGAGACAATACAGTACGGATAAAGTGAGGATGGAGGTAGTTGAGAGTGCTGCGAAGAGCGTTTCATCCAACAAGCTGTTAGAGTTCTATATACTCGCCCTTCAACAACAATCTGCAACAGCTACACGCTCACGAGAGATCGACACCGTGAGAGAGAGAGAGAGAGAGAATCATCTCAGCTCAACACAAATCTCATTAAATCAACACAAATGCCCCCATCTGTCCGTAACGAGATCATCAACACTATATCTACATACGCTCGGATGACAGAGAGCGAAGCACCTCTCAATATACATACTTACAGTTGTGATTTGAATCACTCTGTGTGTTGAAGAGAGTGTGTTGGTGTTCAATGTATTATATTTAAAGAAAACAATCCCACGACCACAATTATGTCCCTACTTTAAGAATTAATAACTATTTTCTCACTATTACATACAAAATACATGTTACCCTATAAGCAGAAAGAAACACAACAACACACAACACATGACACAAAAACAACACACAACAGCATACAATATCTATAGAAGTACCAACACAGATGATTTCTATTATATTGCCCTTTACCTTATTCCCTGAGTTATAAACAGAATAATAATCATCTATAATATGATAACGTAAGCATATATCACTATAGTATATATTATACTAATATATTGAGTATATATACAATATTGCTCTAATATAATTTTATCACTATATATGATTTAAGTATATGGTTAATATAATAGATTTAGAGCTATTATGTTATTCAGTATGATTACATTATCATAAACTAGAATACATCTTATATCATATATTACATGTTACATACTACATTACCTATATATACCCTACTATCAGCGGAACAGCATATTGGCCTCCCATGAGTATTATATTATATATGGTATGATATATAATATATATAACTATATATATATATATATAAAGATAAGATATAAGTTATATATTACAATAAATAACAGTTTGTAATCTCACGGACAAAGTAGTACAATCCATACACACATCACACAAACAATTATATACATTGGCATATATGCGAATTGTCATTTCTTATAGTACTTGGTCCATACGATACGGTGTCGTTGAGGGGAATACCTTGTTCTTCTCACAGTCACCAAGCCTAACTCAGTTTATGTTAATTAATCACTATATAAGCTGTATCCGTGAGTACTACTGATAATAGAGGGTTCATAACGATGGCATATAATAATATATTTATTTATATTATATATAATATATTTATAATATTACATAATATATATATCATTATATATATCTATGTATTATACTATATATAAGTGACCCTATCAATGACTATGGTTCCTGGCTTGGGAGGCTTATTAGTAGTATACTTGATGAATAATACAGTAGTATAGAACCTCCAATGATTATGAGTGTACTTTCAGTATTTCCCTATCAAAACGTTATTATATGCTTTAGTATTACAGTAACGCACTTATGGGGAACTTATTCATATAGACTCTTTTCACTCAAGATGTGATAGTGAGAACCGAGTTCTGAGTAAAAAATCGAAACAGTTGTTTATTAAACAACTAGTGATCGCGAAGCGCAAGTTTATATTGATTGTTCCTGGAAATATTTAAGGCAAACACACCTTTTCGAAGAGCTCAATGCAAGCCTGCAGATCCATACCGAAGTCGACAAAGACCCAGTCAATGCCCTCGGCCTTGTACTCCTCTTGCTCAAGCACGAACATGTGGTGGTTGAAGAACTGCTGCAACTTCTCGTTACAGAAGTTGATACAGATCTGTTCGAAGCCGTTGAACTGTAAAACGAAATTGTCGCTGAAAATCAGCATATATATATATATATATATATATATATATATATATATATATATATATATAATATATATATATATATACACACACACACACACACACACACACACACACACACACACACATATATATATATATATATATATATATATAATATATATATATATATATGTGTGTGTGTGTGTGTGTGTGTGTGTGTGTGTGTGTGTGTGTGTGTTTCCTCCACGAGAGCAGAGGAAACTACAGGGGTTAATGAATAGGGAATTACCGCGGGGAAGGGTAAAGGACGGGGTGCTTTAAAACGTTTTGTGAATGTCCGGACCCATAGTAGAAAAAAAATCCTAGAACCAATGAACAGACTTCTGTATGCTTATTCGTTTTGTAAATATATTAGTTGTATCCGCACAACTAAATATTTTAATGATGATTTGCAATAAGGACTGTCTATCTTAGAACTTACGTCGAAGATCTCGAAGCCGGCAATATCGAGCACACCAATAAACATGGCACGCTTCATTCCGGTCTCGAGGGTCTCGTTACACTTCTTAACGATCCACTTGAAGAGGCGGTCGAACAGGGCCTTTGCAAGAGCACCAACAGAGTAGGACACTTGAGCGACATTTCTTCCTTGTGTTACGAACTCAGCACCGACCTTAATCTTGGGCTTGCACAGGTTTTTGTACAGCTCTTCACTGGACGTTCCAAGGAGTGGACCTATAAGATCCCCAGCCTTGGAAAATTGAAAAAAAAAATCAATGAATTGATATAATTACATTGTTTTATCATCTTTACTGCGTTCACATGTAAATATGATGATGTTCTGCTAATACCTCAGTGCCGTCGGGCTCAGCCTGCTCCTCGCGACCTCTCTGCTTGAACTTCATGTTGCCCATGTGCATGACCGTGGCTGTGATCTTGTAGCAGTTGTCACGCTCATCATTTGTGAAATTCAAAATGGTGAAAGCATTCTGCAAAGGATGTGTTGATATTTGTGTTACAATTTATAAGTACCGGAACTCTGTTGGCAAATGAAATTTTAACAAATGAACCATACCTTTCATCAAAATAAACTTACATGTGTGAATTCCATATCTTCTTTATCGTCGATGGAAGGCACAATGACCTTGCCTTGAGACACGTAGTGATAGTCGTAGATGTCATCGCTGAGACTGCACAACTCTGTTGTTCAAAGTTCAAAGAATAATTCAGACAAAAGTATCAATAATAGAAGTATCAATCAAAGTTTTTGTTTTCACATTCCAATTCGATCAAGACGCTACTGTTGTGTCTCATTTTCTCGGACTGATTTTGTTTATAATGTGAAAAAGATTTTGTGCCGAAGCAGAATTTCTGGCTATTAGTTACTGTGTTAACATTATCTTGGGTTAATTATCTTCTTCTACTTGAACAATATAACCACTTGAAAGTGGATTTACCAACATAATAATTAGTAATGTACGTAATGACAGTGCTATTGTTATTACGTTTTCAAGAATTAAATCATCTTTCTTCCTCAAAATCGTCAGCAACAGCAGTAACATGAACCATATTTATTGTTTAATTCTGGTACATTTATTATGGCATGTACAAGGCGCCCCCACTCAGCGTCGGAATGCCCGTAGAGAGCCTCCTCGCCAAATACTGCCGAGTTATATAACCTGAGATTTATCAAATCTACGTTATAAAGTTTCCGCTCTGCAAGATGTTGATGCTTGTCCTGTGCTCTCCTTTGAATGTGCTTTTTTCCTTTGATTTATTTTCCTTTGTCCGCTTGGTTTATTCTGCATCTGCAGTCTCACTTCGCTATTCTGTCCTACTCAACTTCTTTACCTTGTCTAGATTATTTGTTTGTTTACAAAATATACTTCGCTCTGCCTTGTTCGTTACAATTTATGGAGCCCTTCCTTTATTTTTCTCTTTTTCCGTCCATAAAGGATCTGATGCTTTAGTAATGTGAATAATGTACTTTATTTGTTGAGATTTTATCGTCTCATACGTATATGAGATACATAAACTTTAAAAGGAAATAAACTTTAAGATGAAATAATCTAAAAACAAAACCACCTTTTTATGCAACGAATTATATTCATCTTTACGGATCCTCACGGACTCCTGAAACCCCAGGTGAAGAATTCTCGGTCTAATCTCAAGTGCTTGCAGTGAGATTTCAATCTCTTTCCGTCATTTTCATCGTTATGGCTGTTGTTAATATTGTTAGATTTATTATTGTTAGTATTAACATTACCATTGCTAATTTTCATAATAATAAAGCATCATAATCATTAATATCTCTATCATTATTATTGTCATTATTATTAACATCATTACTGTTCTTAT